CGCATCGATTTCATCAATGAAAACAATGGAAGGCGCATGCTCCTCTGCTACACGAAATAGCTCGCGTACCAATTTTGGACCATCGCCTAAATACTTTTGTATCAATTCCGAACCAACAACACGTAAAAATGTGGCAGAAGTTTGGTTGGCGACTGCTTTAGCTAATAATGTTTTTCCTGTGCCAGGTGGACCATATAGAATAACACCCTTTGGTGGTTTAATACCCATTTCTTCATAGTATTCTGGATGTGTTAATGGCAGTTCAACTGATTCTTTTATTTCCTGAATTTGTGTATCTAAACCACCAATATCTGCGTAAGTTTCTTGTGGTGCCTTTTCCAGCTTCATTACAGTTACCATGGGATCAGTATCGTCACTCAATACACCAACAACAGCATGCACTTTATGATTTAATAGTACTGAACAACCTGGTTCTAGTTGATCTTTATCAACAAATGAAAGTATGCTCACATAATGCTCCGACCCTACAGATGTTGACACAATTGCATGATTGTCATCTATAATTTCCTCTAAATTGCCAACCGACATCGGTGTACCCCGTAAATCATCGACCTTAGAACGTTCTTCTTCGTTTTTCTCATCTTGGGGTTTCAGACGTTCCTGATTCCGAATGAATTCATCTTCCAGTGTTAAGTAATCCTTGATTCGTTCTAGTTTGAGTAATTTTAAACGACAACGCGTATGGGGTGTTACTTGAGGCAGTTTCATAGCAGCATCTGGTCCCTTTGCACGCCTTTTTTTCTTACCCACGCGTGTTGGAATTGGTGGTTCATATTTCTTTTTCTTATCTTTATCATCTTTTTTATCCCCAGAGCCGCCCTGCGCCGATTGGTTTTGACCCTATTTGTGATATAAATATTATATATTCATTAGCAATGCTTTTTATATGATATTGATTAAGCATATAAAACGATTTATATTTACCATATTTTTAAGGCTTTGGATTTAATTTGCGTACCCTAAATATTTTCTATTTAATATTTTATACAAAATGCAATTCATAAACGACAATACTTTTCACTAGTCATTTACTGTGAAGTTAGTTGCATTTCTACAAAGCCGCCATATGTCAAAATTTTACAGCTTGCACAAATAATACTTTTTTTTTGTACAGTACAAAGTAATACACTTTAAAATTTTTAACAATAATTTAAATAAATAACAATAAAATTTTTAAAATGAAATAACGATAACTATAGCTCTATTTTATTTGCACTTCACTTTTAAGATAAACTTCCAAAATTTTTGATACTAATTTGAATAAATAAGCATATAGGTTTTAGTTAATAATTAAAATTATTAATTTATATAACGATAATTGTTGACAGTTCCATTATATTTTTTTTTTTATGATAAATCCAAGAAATTATGTACTTATTTACTGTTAAAATTCTATAAATATATAAATTTATAATAATATATTAATAATACTCGTAGCTGACTAAGTAATTTTTATTTTTAATTTAATTTTTAAAGTATTTAATCAAAGCAATAAAATTATGGCAAAAAACCAACGATAAAGCTATATTTACACATTAAACTATTTTTGAACCTTTATTTTGTTCCTCACTTTTATTTTTTATAATTGCGCTTATAAATGAAAGTACCGAATGCTGTAGCAAAGTTAAATTTTCGTTGTGCTACAGTTTAGTATAAAATTATACTATTTGTATTATAAATTCAATATAGCTCGTAATTACAATTTAATCGAAATTTTGTTCCCGCATTTTTTTATGGAATCAGTTTGCAATTTTAATTCGATTCTGTAATGAATCGAAGAAAACGAGTGAAACAAGCAAAATTACATTAAAAACTATAATTATTTGTGGTGTATGAATGACTGTTAAGTAAAACCTATTGAAAGGAGTATAATAAAAGGCTATAATTTGTGTGTATGTATGTATGTACAAAAATATAAATTAATATAAAATTAATATCGAGTTAATTACGTTAACATGAAATTAAGTTAATTCGAAATGTGTTCATTAGGGTGCCATTAATTTTCGAAAGTCGGAAAATTGTCCGCGGCACCCCCCAGATCGGTTCATTTTATTAAAAAAATAATCTGTGTGAAATTTTAGTTCAATTGGATAAGTGGAAATGGTGCCCCAAGGGCCTCAAGGATAAGAAAATAACGATTTTTTCCATAAAATTCATCTTTGATTGCTTATATCTCCGACATATTTAATTTTACATAAAGACTGTCTTCCTAAGTTATAGATCTATTTAAAATAAACAATTCGCTCATACAAAGTTTTTTTGTATTTCTAATAGTTATTGAATAAAACAAAAAATAAATTGAAGTCACCCGATTGCTAGCTTTGAAAGTACTATGAATGTAATTGTCCGCTTCAGCATTACAAAAAATTTAATATTTCTAAAAAATTTAAAATAAATTCAATATTTCCAAAATTTAATCTTTCTAATAATAAAAAAGTACTAATTCTAAGTTTGTCCGACATAATTTTTATTATTTTAGTTAAAGTTGCTGGAGCAAAGTATTCTTATTACAACTTGGAAAACGAGGGCGGTAATCGTTATTTCAGTACAGTTATTTTTGTATTTTTGCGCGCTCTATTGATACTCTCCTGACTTCCTTGTCATCACTATCTATATTCAAATTTGAAACCATCTTTTTCTTTGTCTCAGGTGATATATTTAAATCCTAAAAAGCAAAATGAACAAGCTTTGAGCTTAAATACTAAATACAATTTTTTGATATTGACTGAGAATAGAAAGAAGATTAAAATCTTGAAACACTATGGTTTAATGCTTTAACTGATGACAAAGCATTAAACCATACTTCAACATACACTTTAGTAATAAATATACATAAATCGCAAAGAGCATTTTCTTCTTCTGTAGATAATTTGAACTCTTTCCTAAATAAAAATATTTTTAATACATGCATGATTTTCACCATCCATCTTGCAGGATGTATAGCTCCAGGAGGTCGAAACCTTATGGTTCAGTTCGGCATTTCTCGTAAAAACATTAATGCAAGTTCCAGAAGTTCCCTATAATCACCTCTTAGTTAGTTATCCTTACAAATCTTATAAAGGAAACTTGTTATTCGTAACACATCATCCATTTTTACCGATTTTCTTACTTTTTCATTTTCTAAGCCGACTGTAAAGTTATCAACGTTTATTTTCGGCCAAAACTTCTGAAATCGTTGAAATAGTTCAACATTTGGGCTTTCAGACTTGTACACTTTTTAATGTAATCACTTTGAATTAAAATTCACTTCGCATTCCAATGAATAATACAGAAGCTCACTTATGTATATATCTACACAAGTATTGGACTTATTTTCTAGCAAAGTTAGTAGACAATTCATTCATTGAACTTACCTAAATTTAATAGGGGGATTTCAGCTTGTATTTGCTTTTATTCAATAACTATTAGAAATACAGAAAAACTTTGTATGAGTGAATTGTTTAATTTAAATAGATCTATAACTTTTAAGAAGACAGTTTTTATGTAAAATTAAATATGTCGGAGATATAAGCAATCAAAGATGAATTTTATGGAAAAAATCGTTATTTTCCAATCTTTGAGGCTCTTGGGGCACCATTTCCACTTTTCCAATTGAACTAAACTTTTACACAGATTATTTTTTTAATAAAATGAACCGATCTGGGGGGTGCCGTCAACCGATTTTACGAAAAAAAAATTGCTCATATACCTTAATGGCACCCTAGTGTTCATACTGCCGCAAAACCATTTATATCTGGCAAATTTTAATAGTTAATTATTTCAACTATGAAGGATTGCATTCAGTAAATTTATTATCCTGGTTTTATTAAAATCAACTGTTAATGACATATATTTTAAAAAAATGTCACTCTTTCGTTATCTAAACTTTATCTTTTGCTTAAAATTTTTCTTACGTAACTATATTTGAAATGTCCTTAATTTCAGCCTTCGTTTCAACGAAAATAATACCTTTTTCTTTAATTTTGTTTTGACTTTAAAACTGAATTTTGTATGGAAAAAGCAATTTAATTTCGCTGAAACGAAGACGTAAATAAGATTTTTGCGAAATTAAGATTTGGCTGAACATAATATTAAAATCTATTTCAAAATATATTTTAAATATATTTATAACGAGCGTTATTGTATTTAAAATTAGTTAGAACTCAAGCCTTAAAATTACACTCAAGGTGTTTACACTTGCATAAAAGTAAAGTTTCTTACTAAAATTGGTAAGTAAAAATATTAAGGTAAACCTAAAATTGATTTTAAGAACCTTAAAATAGTTTTTAATACATGCCTAGAGGGTGTGATGGGTTTCGAGTTCTTAAGTATATTTTTTTAAGTGTACTTTGACATTTCGTGAGGAACTGTGAATACGTTGATGTTTTTTGCCAGCTGTCAATTGAACACGTAAATACATCGACATGGTTTTGCTGGATAATTCAAGTGTAAATATACATTATATTGGAAATTGTATGAAAAATAATATTTTATTTATTTACAGTTCATATTACGTTTGGAAAAATTTGCTACAGCAGCGAAAAGTAATTCCTCATTTACTGTAACATTTAAGCGATGTAAGTCCAACTTACGTTTTCTACCCATTTCAACACTAATGTAATATTGTATCGTTTAATCTTATAGATAATGGACACGATAGACCCATTCCTAGAGAAGGTAAACCACCACTGCCAGAACCAGATACCTATATGTGTTTAATGCGTGCCCAATCAAAATCTAAAAAGGTGAGCATGTGTGGATATTGAATACGATTGTTTAGTCTTATGCTATAAAACTCAGTTCTAGGTAGTAGAATGATGCGCTTACATTTATTTTTTTCTTAAAACGTTAAATGTGATCTTGAGGTCCCAATCTAAAACCCAACTGTTGTTAGGTGTGGGTGTAGCGCTTCATTACGATTTTTTTTGTGTCTAATTGCAAATTATGAAATAATTTATTGTACTCAGTTTTTTTTTACGGTATTTGTTGGTTTAAAGCACATAAGTTGAAAGATTTTGTAATAAAATTCACGAGTCTCATCAGGAATCGCATCTTTGTCTTTAGGATTGTGTGGAAAGTGAAGATTTTCCTTCACAGCTTGATTAAGGTTTAGCATTAATATTGCAGACCAATTGAATGTGTCAATAGTGGGAATTGTTTTTGTTATAGCTAGAGGAGATTCATATAAGAAGAAAGACAAGAAAGGATTTACAACATACATATATACGAGTTAGGATATGGATTAGGTAGGGTGTAAGTGAGAAATGAGGAAATCCCTTTCCCTTTGGGATAGGGAAATGATGAGAAAATAAGCAACATGGACAGTTATTAGTTCACTGCGGTTCTCTTTACAAGTAGCAATTAAAAATATGTTTAACTTACCCTACATACCTACTTAAGAAGAACACATAAACATTAAAAACGTCTACAACTATAATCTCTTCTCTCTTATATTGAGCCTTTTCCGAGTTAGTGCAACTAAACACTTTTACTCTTTGATAGCTGGAAGGTTTCTGCAGAGTCTCTCTCTTCTCACTGACTATGTATTCCTCAAAAGCTTCGTGATTATTCGATGACTGATCTAAGATCTGCGTACCGCCCTGTGCAGCTAATGATTATTCTGAGATTAGATAGTGCTAAGTAGGGCAGCGTATCGATTTTCGCAAATATCTTCAGAGCTTTGTCCTAAGGTCGGGTCTATTCTAAGGTCTGTTAGCATGTAATTCGTAGGAATGTATCATGACACTTTGAAGAGTCTTCGGAGAACCTGACTTTGAGCAACTTGCAGCATAAAAGTAGTTCAGAATTAGTTTTAAATATGTTAATTAATTTCTATTTTTCAAAATTGTTGATTGGTGTACTTCCTATTAATGAGGGTATCTGGGAAAAGTCCCTTAAAGGGTGATGAACGGCACTTGGTCGTCGAGATTGACGATTGACACCGTTACGTAGACCCGACCGCTTTACAACTCATACCTTTAAAAACATCAAAATAAGACGCGGACATCTGCAATGCCCATTTGCAACACTGCCAATGGTGATGTTTTTAAATTTGTTTCGATTTTATAAACATATACTTTTAAAATATGTAAAACGCGTTACTGTTAAAATATAATTACCATTAGAAATCTTTTCATAGTAATTTTAAAAGCTTCTCATTATTTGCATTATTTAAGATTTCAACTATAGTCCGTCAAGAGGATGTGCCTACAATGATGTCGCTATATGGTCAATTTATGAAGAGTAACATGGATGGTTTAAAACGTGTCAAAAAAGTTAAAAGCAAAGCAAAAGCTGCTAAAGGATAAAAAGGCTGTGTTTATTTCATATTGTATTGAACTATAAAATAGCATTTAAAAATGTTTTTTACGTGAATTCTAATTCTTGAATAAAATGAATATTATATATATATAATTAATCAATTCTTTATTTCAGTATTAGATAAAATTCATTATAAAACATATTCATTATGAAATTTTATAAAATATACTCCTTAATATTGTATATATCTTAAGACTAAAAATACCAATTTAAACCTAATAGTGGAGTTAGTGAGTATAGAAAGTTCAAGTTGACTATTAGAGTAAAAACTTATGTGAAATTATCACGTAAATAAAATAGTTTTGGACTAGTTTTAGTTTTATACATATATAAGTTGACTATGCAGAATGCAGTTACGAGTAATAAAATATTATATGTAAAATAAGAAGGTATTGAAATCATCATAAATAATTTGTTACTCTAACTAATATAATACAAAACCTAAATCTAATAAAATACTTCATATTTAAAAATTAAAATATTGTACGACATAATAATTCTACTTCAATTTACATTGATTTAATCCTTTTTGGAAAGCAGTCCTTGCTTTTTTAATTGACGTAAAGCGCATTTAGCCGCAGTGCATTTTGCGATGCGATAGTTACGACCAATGCCACGAAAAACACCTTTACAGAAAACTTCGACAGTTACACGGACACGTCTACCATCTGCCAGTTTTTCCGGTTTTCTACACAAAAGAAAAAATAAAATTAATATATATTAAATATATTTAAAATAATTTTTTACCCAAATTTCGCTGTTTCCGGTTCTAATTCAAGTAGTTCTCTAATAGGTGATTTTGGCACTGAATTACTAAACTGCTCAATTTCTGGTTTCATCATATTACTATAAACTTGCCACACTACATCCAGACACATATTTGAATCCAAGAATATTGCACCAGCAATTGATTCAAATACATCACCCAAAGCTTTGGGCACCTCAACATCTTCAGCATCATCACATTCCTCCTCCGACAAGAGGTAATACTGCAAACATTATAAAATAAAATTATTATAACTTCTTTATACCATCCTTAGATATTCATACGCTTACCTCCTCGCTAATACTGTGTCCATTTTCACTTTGTATACGCACAAAACGATCGATAACCTCATTCAAACCTGGCGATAAATGCCGAAAATATTTATGGAAACCATGTCGCACAGCCAGTGAAGCAAAAATTGTATTGTTTACAAGTGCAGATCTCAAATCTGTTAAAGCACCTGGTGAGTGCTGTCTAGGATCTTCATATAAATGCCTTGTTATTAAATAATCCAACACTGCATCGCCTAGGAACTCTAGCCGTTGATAGCAATCCGTAAGCCGATTTGGTGAATAGCTAGCATGGGTCATAGCTTGTAATAAATAGGAACGATCTTGAAATTTGTAACCCAAAATATTTTCAAATTCATCGAATCCTTGTAGCATAGATTCTAACTCTTTTGCGGCATTTGGTGTATAATGCAATAGTGGACTCTTTGGTGGTGCCCATTCACCATATATTTTTATCATATTTTCTTCATCTGGATTCGTGCTGCCAGGTATTCGTGGCTCAGCTGCATTATATGGTTTTATTTCAAAAGGTAAAACACGTACTCCGAGCCAAGCCATGAATAATAACGCTCCACGGGAGCCACATTCTATTAAGTATGCACCAATTAATGCTTCAACGCAATCTGCCACGGATTTATCTAAAAGATAAATTATTATTTTTTTAGAAAAATATGTAAGTCACAAAAGTTCCATAAAATTTATTACCAGGTATGCTATGTTGGGTTACTAAATTATAGGGAATGAAACAGGAAAAATCATTTCCTTCAGGGTTTTCCGTTAAACCATTTCCACCTGTTTCGCTGCTAGAATCCTTAACGGAAATGAAATAAGAATTAGTTAACGTTTATCTTTAAGTAAATATCTAATATTTTAAAGTGAAGTTGGTATTGTATTATATATCTAAATATATCACCTAATACGACATGTGTGATTTTGCAAACAAAGAGCAGAAGAAAACAACAAGCAAATAACGGTAAATTAATAAGAGCTATGTGGCTGAGATAAGGGGTAAGAGGGCATCTGTTCATACAACTATCTCTATTTTCACTCGAAGACATCTATTGTTTATTGTCATACCCACAAAATTTCTTGGAAAAGTTGAGTTAGATTAACCGTTGCTATCTGCATGTATTATAAGTCTTAAACCATTTAATCTGCCAGACCAACTAGGAAACTATCCCCAAGATATTGAAATCGTTTCCTATGTAATCTTAGAAAAAGTAATAGGAGATAATTATTGAATTTTAGCACAGGCCTCCGCCTTATCTCAAGGTTTCAACAGTTCTCAAAAGGTCTCCGCGTAGTAACTCCCGGAAAGAACCACGCTTTCTCAGTGTAGCGAGAATTGTCTTACCCCAATTGAGATCAGAGTATAGTCATGTGCTGAATAGTAACTTCAAAGTATAACATAACTGCAGCTATATCTTCCATGATATTGCCCATCAGTTTTCGAATTCCAGTTCACATACCAAGTTGTGTCCAATTAATATCGGTCCTATTGAAGTGACTAACACATTACAAATTACAAAAACAACTACCTTGTATGAATGCATTTAATATTTTCGTTTGTAAAAATATTCGTCAGGTCACTGTGAGTTATATTTTGTTTGCAAAAATAAGAGTTATTCTCGATTTTTATATCTATAAGGCAAAAATAACAGTTATTTGTGCGTAGGTCTTATAAAACAAACAACTATTCCGAAAGAATACCGATGATAAGTATCAATACTCGAAACATGTATGGACATTAAAAAAATGCAAATAAAATTCTGTTGTTGTAATTCACTACTATTCAAAAAACCCTTCATTTAGTAAAATAATTTTCTTTTACTATACCAGGTGTACCGGTATGAAGTGAGCGTAAAGATACACGATGAAAAATGGATTTATTTTAAGAATCCTAAACGGAAAAAAGCATGGGTTAATCCGGGACAACCATCAACATCGACTGCAAAACCAGATCGATTCGGCAAGAAGAAAATGCTGTGTGTTTGGTGGGACCAGAAAGGTGTGGTGTACCACGAGCTCCTAAAACCTGGTGAAACCGTCAATGCTGGTCGCTATGAACAATAAATGATAAATTTGAACCATGCATTGATCGAGAAACGACCAGAATGGGGCCAGAAGACACGGCAAGCTAATTCTGTTCCATGACAATGCACCTGCACACAAAGCAAAACGGGTTCAGGATGCAATCAAAAACACTTGGCTGGGAGCTGCTACCCCACCCGCCGTATTCACCAGACTTGGCTCCTTCCGACTACCATTTGTTTTCATCGATGGGACACGCATTGGCTGAGCAACACTTTGATTCCTACGAGGAGGTCGAAAATTGGGTGTCTGGTTGGTTTGCTTTTAAAGACGAACAATTTTTTTGGCGTGGTATCTACAAATTGCCAGAAAGGTGGTCAAAATGTGTAGAAAGCAATGGCCAATACTTTGAATAAAATGTTTTTTACTTTCCTATTAATAATTAGTGTTTTATTTTCACCAAAAAACGCTCATACCGGTACACCTAATAGTTGAATTTAAAAATTACATCCATTAAAATAATTTCAATACAATATTTCAAACTTACATCATCGTATAAACCAAGTTCTTCAGCTTTATCTCGTACTAGTTTGCATATCTCACTACTACTTAGTTTCTTAATATTCGGTAAATCGACCAACTTCCAATGATGCGGTGGTATCTGTGATAATAATATATTAAGATTAATTTAACTTAACAGCATAAAATCCCAGCTAACTTCTATAGAATTGTCCAATCCTCTATAAAAGAACTGGTCAGTAGCATCAGACATCTTTCTATCAGATGTCTAGGATTGAATATTATATTTACCTTAGCTTCAATTAACGCCTTCTCCAGCTCTTTTGGCACATAATAACAAGGTGGTAACCAATTGTCATGCGGTTCAAATTTTGTTGCGATCATATATTCACCTAAGTTTTTTCTACGCCCCAACCGATACAAATTCAAATTGGCGACTTGCTTAGAACGCAAATGGCTAAGTTTACCCTCGTGTACGTTATCGTACGTAATATACAAATATGTGGTTATAGCATATTTAAGGAATGAATCACCTATAGTTTCCAGTCGTTCCAAGTTTATGCCATCATTAGCATTCGACATGGTAAGTGCTTGTAATATTATACTCGGACTTGGTCCGGGATGCCCCTGCAAATCAGGTTGATAATCAAAACTGAAATTCATGGGTTTTATATTGCTTGGATTTCTTTCAGCAATTATTGAACTATGTATTGCTTTTAAATTAGTTTTTCTATCAAAATTTAATTGAATACTCTTTGTTATTTTGTGCTCCATGTGCGTTATGATAATATTGGCTTTATCATTAAAATTATCGAACATATCACCAGTACCTATAATTGTAAAAAGTTCTTTGGGTTGCTGTGTCACATATGCCAAATTGAATTCAAACAAATCTTCCACTGTCAATGATTTGATACCACTTTCCAATAGTTTATCCAAAACTTCTTTATTCACGTAAGGCAATAGTTTGTGGATGCACTCCGACAATGTGAACAACTGATTTACACTTTTGATGTTCGCAGTCTTTCTGGGTAAATTAATTTTATTATTATATGGCACCATCATGCCAGAATTATTTATGTCGTCGACTAAATGTTGCGTGGATTTAATGAATTTCTTTATAGAGCTTTCGATTTCAGATTCCATAATATCATTTTTTGATATAACGAAATCGTAACCTACTTGTAAATTCTTTGTTTTCTGGTAATTCAATTCATTGGCATTAGTGGCTTGTATGATGGATATTTGTTTGTTGCGCTTCTCTATGTCAGATTCAGTTTCTATTGTTTCTGCTTCATTTTTGGATGTAAAAGCAATACGTAAAGCACCAGAATTAGCATCGTCATCTTCATCGGTGCTATAGTTGATCGCCCCGTTCATATCACAACTCGAAGCAAATGAATCATCTGATTCGTAATATGTAAATGAATTTTTTTTAAAATTACTTTTCCATTTTGGATTATCTGTTTCCGAAACTTTATCCTTATAGTCCCAAAAAGTTGGAGAACCATATCGCGGTTCTTCGTTACCTATGAAATTATAAATTATATATAGATTTATTATTTATAAGAAGTCAAAGAATACTGTATATAAGTTTTTCTATATCAATACAGTACAAATCTATTTAAAGAAATCCAAAAATTTTAATTTTTGTATTCCGACCTATATTTTTATAATATAATATAATTCTTGACGATTCTTCTTTTTGTTCATTGTTTTGTTTTCTCCTTTTTTTTTTGTACTGAATCCACTTTTAAACAAATTATTATCTTATACTTACAAAAACTAATATTCGAGGGTATACATTTCATCTTCATTTCTTCATCATCTTCATTATTATAATCATCATTTCTATAAAAGTTAATATCTTCAGCCATATCATTCGACCAAGTTCCAATTTCAATAAAATTGCTTTCCTGAAAATTATTAAAAGATATTTTAATCAAAGTTATTTTACGGAAACTATCAATCAAGAGTTTTTATTAAGTATTCTGGTTCCAAGAACGGCCTGGTGTATGTTCCGGAGCCATTCTTTAATCACGACGACCAAGTGCCGTCCAACACCCCAAAAGAATTTTAAAAGAAGATCCCTGTGTACTAAACAACAAAACCATTAAGTACCCTATGCTAAAGGTTTCAAACCGAACTCCATTAAAATATAATCGTGTGCTTATCTAGGATTAGTTTTCGAATAACAAAACCAATACAAAGCCCAAGGACTTCAGAAGTACTAATGGTAATGGTTTTTGGGTTAGGCTAAGATAGTCCCTAGTCCCTTAAAATTCTTCTTGTTCAGGACGATGTTTGCTATTCTTTAGCATCAAAATTCAAGAATTTTTTGGTATGATTAAGTACTATGGATAATCGTCGAAAAATCGTCTATAAAATTCTTTGGTATAATGCTAGACGATTGGCAGAAAAATCATAAGATTGCTGAGGCTGATTGTTTGTACATAATTGTTGGACTACAAGTCTCAGGTTTTGAATTCTGAATCTGTTAATTAAAGGAATTAAGGAATTAAAGGAAACAATAATACAAGTGTTGTTTAACCAGACGAGTCAAAGCTGCACAAAAGTTTGGTTGTACAAATCACATCTTATGGGATTTGCAATCAACAGTATTATATATTTATGCAAAATAAAAATCATAATTACCTGAAACTTTCTTTCGGCATCGATCACTATTTCGTTAGCACTTTTTTCCGACTTCGTTTTGATAGATTGATCAGTATTCATGTCATCTACTGTTTTTTCAGTTATTTTGGCGTTGTTCTCATTTTCTTTAGGATTATTTTCAACACCATTTTGGTTTTCTCTTGATTTTTTCAAGACCTCCGATAAACTCCAACCAAAATCTAACATTGGCCATTCAAATTCATCATTACATACCTCGCGTTGTCCTAGACCCATATCGGCTGACACTTTCCTACGTATATCATCAGCCAAAAGTAAACCATTAATACGATACAATATACAGGGTAGACATACTGCTGTACGCCACAATGAAGCGGGAAATGGATGTACTGTACACAGTTCCGGCACTAATATTTGCTTTTGTTCTAAATTCTCACGTTTGGCACGTTTAGTCTCTTCTGAACTCGTAGGCAGTGCAACACCTTTACGATTAACATATCGTGGAGTAAGAAAATTTAAACGAGCACTAGTATGATCAACATCCAGCAGAGGTTGTGTTACATTCTGTATAGTTAAACCATATTTAAGAAAATAATAATGCTTAAAAGTGCGATAGTTTTCACCAGGAAAACAGCTAAGCGGAGAAAGTTGTGGACAAATTTCGGCTACATAGAAGTACTGTGGCTGATCTTGATTGCGATACCAAGGCATTACAACGGCATCTTTAAATTTATTTCCATTGAAATCCATAATCTTACGTTCTTCATCGGGAATTTCAGTTGGCATCATATCAGCATTTTTCTCGATTAACTGCAAAAAATCCCAATCAATAACTTTTCCCGTTTTCGTTTTTATCGTTGGCACTATAAATAAGCAATTCTCCGTTGAATCGGGATCAAAGAGCATTAGGAACTTTTGTAGACGCAATACGTTGGTAAAAGTATAATTAACAAAAATATTAATGCAATTCACTTGTTCTGTCGTTAATACTATAGGTTCAGAAAATAGTTCTATAGATACTTTCACCTCACCGGAACGTGTAAATATAGGAAACGAACTGACTTTTGGTATTTTTTTTAATGTCAATATACCGAAACCTTGTAAAGCTTCTTCAGGTGGATAAATTTTACGACCTCGCGTATTTTGTTCTTCAGGTATGGGACATTGCAGTGTGAGATCTAATAGGTAGAGGTAACAGGGTGCATTAGCAGTTGGGCGGCAATTGCAAAATTCAGTAGCAATCTACAAATTAAGTTAAAATATTTTTATATTGAATTATTATGAAAATAAATGAAATACTTACGCGTTTATAATAATACTGTCGCCGTTTTGTCGTACCAGGTCTTGGTTCAGAATTTTCTTTAACAATTTTTTCGTCTTGTGCTTCCAATTCAAAATTTTCCCAATCTGGTTCAATAGCTCTAAACCCTTCCTTGCCTATAGGTGTTAGATTATTGTCTAATTCTCCAGATCTATGTAATTCGATGCAAGTTTGTAAAGCTGTCAGTCTTCTAGCTAAGATATTTGTTGGCATGGGCAGACCCTGTAAATTTAGAATATTTCAAGTGGTGTAAATTATGGTGCAAAGTAAGTAATAACAAAATATATACGACGGGATAGTTTCATGTTAATAATTTTTACCAAAAAATATTTAAAAAATTGTGACTTCTACTTTCTTTATTATAATAACGTAAGAAAGAGCAAGAGTAAGTATTCATCTTCAACACAAAAAAGGAAGAATATGTTTATCTATAATATATAGATTCGGCTTTCGTGAGGGAGAATAATTAAAAGAACGAAAGAACTCCCTTCAAATTAAACTTAAAAACGTTATGTACTGTTTGCCAATCAGAGGAATAGAGAACGTTATGTCGACAAATGTCAAATACAAACCAATACCTGCTTGTAAACTCTTTTGGAGACTATACTATACCCTTTAATTTGGATTTAGTGGTCTTAAGTTCAACAATTGATATAAGTAGAGTCAAATAATTGTCTTTGACCACAATACCTTCAACAACATCTTTTACTTTGTATCCAGTAATCGTAGGTATGTTGAATTCAACGTTTGATATGAATAGAATCGAGAAAGTGAAGAAAAATTACTAAGAATTTTGGGAGTAAGAGGTAGAGATTTCTATGTTCAAAGAGTGCACTATTTAATTGAGATAAATATAATTTATGTTCAACAATATTGTGGGTGCTTAGCCCGTCTGATGAAGATTGCACGAACAACTGCATACTTTGTAACTTTTAGCTCTTTAAA